CGCCTCCGCGGCCTGCCATAGGCAGAGCCATGTGCACCTCACAGGTGGCAAACTCCTGAGGCAGCTGAGCCCTCTCACCGGGCGGCTCAGCCTCGGGGCCAGCTGGGCTCGCACGGGGCCGAGGCGGGGATCCACAGCCCCGCCCCCTCGGGGGAGGGGAGACCCCCGCGCCTTCTCGCCGCACATGCGTGCACCGCTCCCGCGCTGCCGCCCGCGCCTGCGCACTGGGCTGCAGGCGGAAGGCGGTTTAATTCGAGTGGCGCGGGGCCGGGCCGGGGCAATGCAGGCCGCGCTCCGGGCTCGCTCCGGCAACCGCCCCCTGTCGCCAGTCATGGAGCGGCCCAGCCGCGCCTGGCATCACACGCGCGCCGCCCTGGAGCAGCTGGAGGCTGCACTGCGCTGCTCCCGCTGGTAACTATTCCCCCCGCGGGAGGGGGTGGGGCTTTATGTGGGTGCTGGCCGCGCTCGGCGCATGCGCGGTGTAGGGCTCGCTTGACACTTGACACGTGTTCCCCCGCAGTGACCACGTGCTGAGGGAGCCTGTGTGCCTGGATCAGTGCGAGCACGTCTTCTGCCTGTGAGTACTGGCGGGGGGGGGGGGGCTGCGCACCTCCTCCCCCAGGGTGCGCAGTGCCTGCTGGGCGGGCGCGAGGGCGATGCGTAGACCTCACTGCAGCTGGAGAGGCTGGGTGTCCGAGGCTCCTGCAGTGTCATGCAGCCAACGCTGGCTGCAAGGGGCCGCTAGCGGGTCAGCGGACTTCTGGACATGTTGGATCCCGCGGTGCTGGGAGCGGTGGGGCTATGTCAGACTGCTACTAGCCAGGGCATCTTTCCAGACAGCTTTCCTAGCCTCGCCTCTGGGGATTGCTCCCTGTGCTCTATGGAGACCCACGCTGCTGCAAGTGAAGATGGTGGGTGCCCCCTGTGCCATACTCTTGACATGCAAGGGTCAGTACGCTGTGTTCATGCTGTTAGGTGGGCAAATGGGATTCGCAGCACGCACCCTGAGGTTTCAAACGGGAGTCAAGGGTCCCAGAAACGTTTTGCCCCAGTGTGGGCTCTCTGAGGCATTTGCAACAGAATGGATGCTTTGCTCTGTTACTTTTTCTTTTTTGGGGATGCAAAAAGGTAAGTAAAACTGTGAAAACTAGGAGCTGGTACTGTCGGAGGGGCACCTTGAATTGAAAAAGGTTGGGAACCACTGTCCTGAACAACATGTGTGAGCCTGTGGTAGAAGGAACCTCCAGTTGTTTTGAAAGGCTGGAAAGAACTTGCTGCTGCTCGTGTGTCAGCTGATTTGGTGCAACTGTTTTGTTTATCTGCTTCTACCTCAGTGACTTACAGCTAAACCACTGTAACCTTAATGTTACACCCTCACTAGAGTGAAACCCTTTCTCTGGATCACCCAGCAAGTACTGCCATTTTAAAGCGCCTTTGATAATTGTGAGTTGTGTGCAGTTGAATGGGATGGCTGTTCCACAGGGAAAGCAAATGAAAAAACTAAAGAGTTACAAGTTGGTCTAATAAAAGGTATCATCTCTGAACCAAGAGTTCTAGAGTTTTGCATTTCTTTTTGTCTCAGACCAACATGGCTACCAAATACATCCCTAAGTTTATGCTTCATTTATATAGGTTTTTGAGAATAAAAGGGTTGAGAGCCATAAGAGGGAAAAATAGAACTTAATCTGTAAAAGAGGGAACTTTTTCTTATTGGGTTCGTACAAAAAAAAATCACAAATCTTGCATTCACTCAGTTCTGCAGAGAGCTCTGTGCAGGGGCCTTTCAGCCTGGAGCTCAGCATGGCTTTAGGCATGTTCAGTGGTCTGTCAACATGGAGGCTGTTGCAGGATCAAAAGGTACATTTTACATTTCAAATTGCAGTTTATTGAGCAGTAGTTCACCCTCACAGTATGTAAGAGAGCAGCTCCCTAAACTCTAGGGCTGAAATGATTGTACCTTTATATTTGATTTGAACTGCCCCTAAGCATTCCCAGGGGAACCTTTCAGTTACAGGAATTAGCCTGAAAATGTTCACTAATCATTTCTCACCATAAAAACATTCGTCTAATGGGACAGTTTATGTATTAGAGGCAGGAATACTAATAGGCTTTACTAATATACAGGGGATTTAAGCTCTCCAAGCTGGTATATTTGTTTATTTTAAAATATATTACTAACAGGTGTCTATTTTCATTCTTCAGAAAGTCCTGAGAAGCAGTTATGATCAAATATATGAATTATCCAGGCAAATAGTATACTACTAGCCAATTGCCCCATAAGAATGATTGGGGTGGGGGGGGAAGGAGCCCCATGCCCTGCTCCCCCCACATCTGGACCCACTCCCCCTTCCGTCCTTTTTCTTGGGGTCTGGGCCTGTTCCCTCCACCCTGCTCCCCCTGTGCTGCAGTGGTGGGGGAAGGAGCAGGCCTGGGCCCAATGTTGGGGAGGACTGGACCTGAGGGAGGGGGGGAAGCGGACCCGGGCTGACCCAGGAGTGGCAGGGGAACGGGAGGAGTGGGCTCATGGCTGATGCAGGGGAGGGGGGTGAGGGAGGAGTGGGCCTGAGTGGGGGGAGGAGGCCTGTTCATCCCCTCCCCTTGCTGCTGCCACATTGGGCCAGGCCAGGCCCGCTGCTCCCCTCCACCACCGCAGCAGCCTGGCTGCTCCCCCCACATCGGGCCCACTCTCCCTGACCCCTGCTGCATCAGGCCTTCTCCCCTTCTCCCCTTCCCCCATTGCTACTGCCACCACCACGGTACACCTGCTCCTTCCCCCCCCCCCCCGGGGTTGGCCCCCCCCCGCTGCTGGGTCAGCCCTGCACGTGGTGACAATGCAAGGGGGGGAGGCAGGCTGAGGCCAGCGCCAGTGCCCTCTTTTTTTCCTGTCCCCTCCCCGGTGTCCTGACCCGACTCTCCCACCCCTGTGCCGCCACCACTGTCACCTCCAAGGAGCTGGGGGGGGAGAGGGCATGGCCAGCTCTGGCCTTGCCTGCCCCCCTGCTCCATCATCACCATCTGCAGGAAGCAGGGCTGAGGGGGTGAGGCCAGCACAGCTGGCCCCGTTACCCCTTGTGTCCCTGCCATCATGGTGACACATTGCCACCTGTCCAAATGCTTCTTTGCACTCTGATTGGCTGTTTGTCAGCCAGTCAGAGCATGAATAAAGCGTTATAGACCGTCAGATTAAGGCTTTTATAATGTTAGAATACATGTTACAGATGAGAAGACATGCAAATCCTTAGTTCTACAATTAACTCGATGCCAGTTATGAGACAGTAGTTTACCTTCTGTCTTAGTCTTTTCTTGATACAGTAGTTGCTACACTAGTAGAAGTTACTTGACCAGTACCTTTCCTTCATGCCATGAGGTATGTTCCTTTCAGTTATTCTCGCAGTCTCAGTTCAGGGAATACTGGGTTTTACGGGGAAAATTGTACCAGGATGCTCCTTCTGCTTCTCTCAGGGGTGATTACAATCGGGGTGGATAAAAATCGATGATTTAAAAAAAAAAAATTGGATTTTTTTATTTAAATCAGATTGTGTTGATTTAATCCTATTTTTATTTTTAAAGATGCTTTAAAAAAATCTATATAAAGATAGTTTTAATTTAAGATATGTTAAAGCTCAAAGATACTATCATGGAATGGGTAGGGATTATAACTTCTAATTGTATACTATTCAGGAATATATATCCATTTCACCTTTTTAGAAAAGTTTTATAAATAGGTCACAACAGGCCATGGACTATATTAGGGGCCCAATCTTATGGGGTTCCTAGAGGCTTCTCTATAGATTAGTAAAGATTAATGAAAACCACTCTACCCAATGGAACTCAGGGCTTGGCAACCTCTAGCACACAGGCCAGAGCATGGCGCACACAGCCATTTTGTTTGACACACCAGGTTCTGAGTAGCTGCTGCTGGCCACAGAGCCCAGGCTGCTCGTAGCAGGTGGCTGGGAGGCTGCATGACCTGCTGCAAGCAGCATGTGCTCTGTGGCAGGCAGCAGCTGTCTAGAATTCTCTCCGGATGTGGCAGGTAGCTGAGAGGTTACAAACAGCTGCATTGGGCTCTGGAGCCCTGGCACTGCCACAGCTGCATGCATGCTTAAGGGTACATGGCAGGGAAGAGGCCAGGGCAGTGCAACCCTGGCCCCTCCCCTGCTGCCCATCCAGAGATGCACGTCCAGCTGTTTGCAGCCTCCCTGACACCTGCTGCGAGCAACCCAGGTTCTGTGGAGGGTAGCAGGGGCCTCCCCAGAGCTCAGGCTGGCTGTGGCAGGCAGCTGAGAGACTGCAAGCAGCTACACTGAGGTCTGCAGAGCTCCTGCCTGGCTTGTTGCTGGGGGTGGGGCTGGGGTTGTGGTGCATCTGCCTCTTCCCTGCTGTATGCACTGAGGCGTGTGTGCAGCCACCACGGGACATGGAACAGAGCCCTGGCCCTGGCCCTGTTCCCTGGTTTAGCTACTTGCAGCCTGCTTGCTACGAGCCCAGGCTCCATGGTCAGCAGCTGTACATGCACCTTGGGGTGCGTGGTGTAAAAGAACTGGAGCAGTGCAACCCTAGCCCCTACCCCATTGTCTGTCTGTCCATGCACCTGCTGCCAGCAAGGAGGATTGGACCCCTCACGACTTCCCACCCCACATCTGCCCTTGGAATGCCAAGTCAAGGGCCATGAGTTGAGGTTGCGGTGTTTTTGGTATTCCAGCCAAAAACGTTGCTGACCCCTGGTTTAGAAGATCCCATTAAGCATCTCTGTGATGCTTCACTTCAGTTCTCAAACTTGGACTGTCTCACCAGAGGTAACATCCTTGTTAACAGCAGTATATGGAGATAGAGAGATAACGGACCTGATTACCTACCCATCATCCCTCTTGTCTCTCTGCAGGTTTCTTAGTCAAGTCCTTACCAATCTCTAAAAGTGCAGATTTTCAATAAGTTAAATGAATAGAGGGTATCAAACAACAAGAATGCACTTTTTGTAGAAAACCATGATTAAATCGAGGCTTCCTGACCAGCAATTTTAAATCTTGATTTAAATTGATTTGATTTAAATTAAATCTACTGTGATTACAATATCAAGGTATTGCTGCCTAGATGCTATTTACAACCTGATGTTCAGGTAAACAGTGTGGTTTGCTTAGTGTGAATTGATATTTTTTGATTAGAGTTCTGGGTATTGTTTTATGTATTGTGATAAGGTACCAAAGAGAGGCAGTCTGAAGTGGTAAATGAATTCCATTCACTTCAGGTTACCCGAAAAGATAGGGGTTTATATTTTAATAGAATTGGTGGTATTCTAAAAGCTGTGTGGGTAACTTAAGAACACTTGAGAACACTTAAGAACTTGAGACTCTCACTTGATGGCTTCATTTAAGTTTTTAAATGACCTTTACTGGGCAAACCTGTTTCTCCTTGAGCTGTTTCAGAGATAAATGCTCTCAAAGTAAAGTGATAGAATAATTCTAATACCTACAGATTCCCGTGGGACTTCTTACTGAAGAATGTTCAGACAGGTGTAACTTAACAGTATCATGCCAATTTTAACAAGACAGGGGAAAGTGATAGCTTAGTATAGATTGGGTTTTCATTCCCTTTGTAGAGTTGGAATGCTGTTGAAAAACAGTATTATGTTTAGATGAGGTACAGAAAAACCTAGAGTTTTAAGCACTCAGATATAACAAGTTAACAGAAACAATTGGGAGAAGTGGAGCTTTGACATATTTTGTAAATTTTGATCAACCTGCAATTGGGTAAGATTAAAAAAACCCAACACAATAAGCAGCTTCCTGGTGCGACGGTTGGACTTGGTTGACTTAATTCTGCCTTGTGGCTTGCCATACAATGTTATCTGGCTTCCTTTTGTGCATTGGCAAGTGAATTTAAAATAAATCTTTTTATGCTATACAGTGTTTGCTTTGTGGTGTCAAAAAAGACCTTGTTCAGCTATGTTTCAGCTGATTGTAAGGAATATCCAGTGACTTTGCACTTTCTCTCTCCTTGAGAGGTAAGCTCCTATGGATTAGCTTTCACTTACTGCAGGGTAAGAGTATGTGTGTTCATATAAGCAGTTACTTTGGAGCAGCTGACACGCGTTAAATGTTTTCCAGCATTTTGCTTTGCAATAACTAGTCTATATGCACATATCCTGAATATATCAATTCACTTGTTGAATGACTTGTTCTTATATGCTTGACTTTCAGTGACTGTGTTGGTGATTGTGTTGGCACAGAATGTCCAGTGTGTCACATGCCAGCCTGGGTACAAGATGTACAAATAAACAGGCAGTTAAACAACATGATCCAGTTGTGCAGCAAACTACGGCAGCTACTGGGCACAGGTAAGAGAAAATATTCGATCCTGTCATAATAAACATTGTATTCAAACTCGCATCAATTTCATATGCTCTTAAAAGGCTTGAACTATAGTCTCTTTTAATATTCTAAAAGATTATTCATACTGGAAGATGAAGAGGACAGACTCTGGGTTTCTTATTCTGTGAGTCAGCCTGGATCAGGGGTTTTGGTAGCTTTTTAAAGCAGCATGCTGCTTCTTGTGACCTGGCTGCTGCTGTGGACCTCTAATCTTCCTCACTGTTGTGGGTCACCACCCATCCCTGTAGCACCTGGGTTGCTGGCTGACACTACCACCTCTGCCCTGTGTTGCCAATTCCCATCCTCATTGGTAGTGGGGTGGTGCAAATTCAAGTGGCAATAGTAAGCAACACTTGTTATAAGCAGGTGGGGTGAGCAGCAGGATGGGCTGTGGAAGGAGGTACTATGAAGGGATCATTGGTATGACACAGGGCAGAGAGGAGGAAGGTACCAGGTTAGGTTCTGTGCCGCCACAGGCCAGATCTATGCCACAGGCTGTAGGTTTCTAACCTGGATCCTTGCTATAAAAAGGCAGAATGTCTTTAGTAGCTTTTTGGTATATAATTTACCAAAATCTACTGTTTGCTAAATTTACATGAGTATGCAATGTTCCCAAATGATGTAATAGTTAATTACAGATACTAATGTTTCATGCATTGTCACTCAGTATTGCCAACCCCACCGTGTCAAAAATCATGAGACAAACTCTTAAAAATTGGGAGATTCGGAATGTAAATCGTAAGATGCTATTTTTGAAGTGTGTATGGGGGGGTGTTATTTGTGAAGGTGTGGGGGGGTGTGGGCATGTGTGAGGGGATTAGAGCCTAGGGAGTGGGGCGGGGTCCCTGTAAACCCTGGGAGGGTACTGTGGGTCAGGAGTGAGGGGCAGCAGCAGGGCTGGTGGGGCTGTGGCTTGGGAGTGAAGGTCAGACAGACAGACAGAAAGGCAGACACTCAGGCACATGAAGACAGGCTGGGGCGGGTTGTGTGACAGAGCCATGGGCAGTTCATCCAGGAGCAGGGGGGAGCTCTCCCTGCCACTGCCTGCACCCCTGGGAGAGGCATGGGGGGCACATGCCCCTTGGATTTGTGCATGGTGCAGAGGCTGGCTGCAGGCTGGGGCTCTGCACTCTGCTGCCTTTGCTCTGGGAGCTTTGCAATGCTGCCAGGTAGACAGGAGATGCGTGACACAGCCAACACATGGCTCCCGGGCAAAGGCAGCAAGGCACAAAGCCCTAGTCTGCAGCCCACCTCTGCCCCGCGTACAAATCCAGGGGACATGTATACTCCCCATGGCTCCCCCCACACTCCTGGATGAGCTGCCTGCAGCTCTTTCACATGACCCACCCCGGCCCTGGGGCCCCATTCATCCGAGCCCCTGCTTCACTTCTTCCCTGACTATGGGGGTCTCAATCGGGGGTTCCCCTTACCCCTTCCCTTCCACAGAATTATTGGCACAACACTGCTCTACATGTGCCAGAAGATCCTTGGGCCATATTCTGCAATGAGTCCTGTTCAAGGATCCCATTTCAGGATCAGTGCTTGAGTTCTTTTTTGCTAATCACTTTCACTGATGTACCTGTAGACATAAAGTGATTGTTCATTTTCAGATTAGCTTGCACATGTGAAGTTTACTTTATATTTACTGCTTAATGATGAGGAAAGAGCTAAGTCTTAGTTCATTGGTGTTCTCGCAAGCCAGAGTGATGTGACTCTTCTCTGCAGGGGAAGTCTGTCATTGCTGACAGTTGTGATACTGACTATGCACTGCTGTGGGATTTCCAAGGTGAATATAGGCTGTTTGACAAAATAGAAAAAATTGGAGCAAAATGATTGTAAATGGGTGTCTATTTTCCTTAAACCCAAAAAGAGCATTTAAGTAGCATCGCATTTTAGGAAACATTAATTTAACTATCAGTTACAGAAAAGAACATTTTTTTTGCTCATAGCTTATTACCAATATATTTGTCTAAATAGAATATTCTCATGTATTATCCATTGGATTCCATCAATATGTTTACGTCACAGTCTCTACACTAGTCCTTTTTTACATCCAACCACTAGATTATTACCTCACTGAAGCAGCAGGGTTCGGGGATACGTTGAAGTACAAAAGATGTTGTATTTGTACATTATTACAAACTCTTGGTGACCAAAAGTTATGGATAAAATGAAAGGAATAGCTTTTGAGAAAATAATTTAGGAATGCTGACATGCTTTAAGAAAATGGTAGGATGCTTTAGGGATGGTTGGTTTCTGAGGCTTTTGAGGTAGTTGGCTTAAGGTCCTTTTGCCCAGTACTGAAGAGTGATAGCCAAGAAGAAACCTTTTCTATTTATTAAGTGACATTTAATGGTATTCAAGATGTCTGTGTGGTTGGGGGAGAGGGGAGCGAATCAGTGAGCTAAGGTTATTTTGATCTCGGGTGTAGTTTCCCTGTATGAATGTTTTCACTACATAAACTATGGAATTAAATGTATTTGAAAATATAATTTACATAAAGTGGTAGAAACTAGAGGAAACAAATAATATTTTCTTTAAAGAAGAAAGCTTTGAGAAACCTGACATTTTCTCAGGGTGCTAGATTTGTATGTAATGTGGTTTTTAATAATTACAGGGCACGCCTACCCATGCATTAAGGCACTATGGTTACTGTACATTAAGTTTAGTATGTGTAATAACAGGTACTAACTAAATGTGTAGTAGCTCCAGCACGCATCTTTTAAGAGATGCTAATGCGCAATAGATTAATTCTGCATGTTAGCACAAGAGCATGGCTTTGCTGTGATGCACTAATGCACACTAGAATTATTCTGTTGCATGTTTAGTGTCTCATGTAGACGTGCCCCAGTAGTCTTAATGAGCCTAATAATTTGTAATGGTGATGGTTTTGTTTCACTTGAGTATTGCTTCACCAGGAAATAATGCCAAGATATAAATTGATGTGGTGATTCAATTTCCATTATTGGGTAGTTTCTCTCTATATTAAATATTACTGCCTTTTTGTGTTTTTTCACTCCTCACTTAAGAAAAAAGCTTTTCTTAAATGCATAAGTAGGTAACTAATGTGTCTAAATGAAAATACATATTACTAAACTATATTTAATGACAAATGACAGGTGGCTTCAAGAATTGAAAATGTTCAGTTTGCAATAATACGGTAATTTTCTCTATATATCTTATTACTTTTGGAATTTTATCCCTTGATGTGAGATGTATATGATGCAACAATACATTGTGTAGATAAAACACAATATTAAGTCCTTGTGACTCAATTATTGCAATCTGAAAATGTTCATAATGTAGATAATTGCATTTTTGCAAGTTTCCAGATGGGTTATGAGAGGCAATTAAAAAAAAAAAAAAAAAAAAAAAAAGGCGGGGAGGGACCATGAAATGTACCCTTTAGATAATCAGAAACCAGAGAGAGTAGTGTGGGTGTTCTCTATAGGAAAGCTTGGTCATTGTTTGGAAATGTATTAGAAAGAACTAGTTGAAAACGTGTCCTTTGCCCTTCTTGGGGTGTATTTACACATTAACATAGCATGTACTAATCATAAAGTTAGCATGTGCTGTGAGCAGTTGCAAATTAAGGGTTAATACCCTTTCTGACATGCACTGCATGAGGGCTGGGGATCACAGGCCAAGTTGGCTCTGCCAAGGAGCTGCCAAATTGGCTTCATGCCTACCTGGCTTGCCTGCTCTATAGAGCCATATAGGTCCCAGGAATGGGGCTGCAGCTCAAATCAGGCCCTTGCCATCCTGCAGCTGCCCAGATTGGGCCCCCATCACTCCTTACTAGCCTGGGTTGGGCCTGTTGCCTGCCACTGGCCTGGATCAAGGCCAGCTGCCCTCTGCCAGTTGGCATTGTACCTGCTGCTACCCACCAACCTAGATAGTGCCCAATGTGGGGGGTCCCATTTGGGCCTGCCCGCCCCCACTGGCCTGGATCAGGTCTGCCATCAGCCTGGATCAGGCCTTCTGCCCCTGCTGACCTGGATCAACTTCTGCTTGCCTCAGATTCCCTGCCCTTCCCATCTTCACAGCTTTCTTTTCACCTATTGCTGCCAGCACTGCTGCCACTTTTTTTTGTGGAGTGTGGTGGTGGGTGGACAGGTGGCTTCCTCTTCCCTGTCTGCTCCCCTGGGATAGCACCAGCAGCATAGGTAAGCAGGGAGCCAAGGAATGTTTTGGTGGGGAAGTGAGCTCTAAGGGCTGGGGGGGAGGAGAGGGAGGAAGGGGAGGAGTGCCAAGGAGCCTGGAATCAGAACAAAGTAGGGTGAGAGGGAATTTTTACTTTTAGGGCTCCTCCAGCTTCCCCCGCTGTCACTCTGAGGGAAGATGGAGTGTCCACGTGGGGATGGTTGTAATGGTGTTTCCTGGGATGCTGGAGGGCTTCTCCCAACTTGTTTTGGCCCTCTGGAGCAGTCTAACATGACTGCAACATAAGCTACCAAAAGTGAGCTAGAAATAATACTCGCCAGAAGAGGACTATTTTTGAAATGTGCAGAGAGTACTTAACTCAAGTTTTTCTGTGATAACATGCAGGCACTCCTGTTTTAAGAGCCCTTAACCCACTATAAAGGTAACATCATGTAATGTCACTGTATGTGTATAAGTCTTTCATTTTTTAGGGTTTCTGATCAGTTTGGGTCTTTTGGTTTATTAATGGAAATCATTTTCTCTATCCAGTTGGTGCACAATAGGCTAATTAAGGAGTGCTTTCTCCCCAGTACCTACTGGTATTGCATGTAGCTTTAGCCTATCCAAAAGCCTGCTTAGATCTCAGTTCAGAATATTATATTTGATTTCTAAGGACAAATTCCACAATGTTAAAGAACTTGTTTAAATTTAGGTTTTTTTGTCAATTGAAAAGTGCCAGTTTCTCATCTTTCTTTACAATGTGTGGGTATGATTGTGGAAGAAGTGGGTGATAGCATGATAGGGAAACGCACTAAATAGTTGT